GGGGGGTGGACGAAAGAAGAGGGTAAAAGGAGGCAAGGTGGCGCATGGGCAGCCAAGTTTATTCTTCGAGGCGCCGCCTTTTTAGATGACCGTTTAGGATATCAAAGCGATGGATGGATGGATGGATGGATGGATGGATGGGCTTTGGGTTGTATATTTTGGGTATTTATTTAGGTGCTTTCCACTGGATTAATCAATGCCTGAAAGGAAAAGGAAAGGCGAGGAAGGGCAGAGAAAGGGAGGACAGACGGACTTGTACTTGCCGGAGATGAGGGGCGTCCGGCGCATGTCCAAGGGAAGGGAAGGGAAGGGAAGGGGGACACGGAGCACAGCGGACACGAACAGTGTTGCAGTCTGATGGGTGAGGGTTGCAGGGGCAGGGGTCAAGGAAACGAAACTACGATCGGTGGCAGGCTGATCACGGGCAAGGGGATTTACCTTTCGCGTCACTAGGCGAATACAGGTTTGCTGCTATTGGGAAAAAATAACAACAACATGGAGGCTGATGACGACTACGCAAACCTTCTCTCAGCAGACAAGGACGGAAGCAAGTACTGGTACAGAGAATTGCAGTCCAAGATGGAGCGCAGCATGATTGACACCAAGGAATACCCAGGAAGAGGGACCCAAAAGTGTGGGGGTTAGCGCGTGACCCCGCAAAATTACAGGCGGGAATCAGTGGGTTGGACAATTTTTGCAGGGGGGCAGCATGTCACGGTACATTTTAGGGGGGACTTTTGCTACGAGTCCCTGACTGACAGTCTCTAAAGCCTCGGAATTTTCCAAAGAAAAGGGGAGAAGCTCGGGAATTTACTTTGATTAATATTCATGTCCGGCAATTCCAGTTTTCGCCCCAAGGCAAATCGTCGTGCGGCAAGCCAAGTATAAAAAAAAGCTTTCAGTGGGCAGTAGGTACAGTTAGTAATGCAGCGCCCACAGCGGTGCAGTGGCAACTTCAACTCCGCCCAGGCGCCTAGCCTCATCTCACTCCCTCCACCTGCCTGCCCTGTAGCCTGCCCTGCCTGTTTTCAGCCAAGAACTTGCCTCGTTATCCTCTCCTCCAATTTCTCTTCCCACACGCGCCCTCCTTCACCCTCGTTTTCTTCCTTCACCACCCCGTAACACTCACTGTGCACCCGCGGCATTAACCTCATCGCAAGACTCTCGAATAATAATAATAATCCAGTCATCTTGCAGTCTCCCTCACCATTTTCTTCCCACCCTCGCCGCCCACAACCAATCGGCCACGTTTCTCCGCCCACCAACTAATATTCACCACCCCCCGCCGCCGCCTCCGCGACCGCATCACGTTTGCATCCGTCGCCCTCCCTACTCCTGCTCGTCCGACACCGCTTCTTTCGTACTAGTCGCTGGTCTCTGTCGCCTCTTCTCAACACTCATCTCCAAATACTCTTCTCTCAATTCCGTCGGCCATGGAGAGCCTCCAGCTTTCCCAGGTCCTCGCCGATCTGAGTAACCTCGGCGCAGCTGTACGTCTACTTGTCCTCCGCCCGGAACATCGGAATTCTTCACACTCCGATTTTGTGCTTACAGTCCTCGACAGGAACCTCAAGCTGCTGCCGCCATCGTCAATGCCAACGTCCCCATCGTTCGACCCGAACCCGTCAATGAATCTTCCACCTCAACCCCTCAGCAACAGCAGCCGCCGCGCGCTCCAGCCATGCGTCGTCACTGGTCCAACGAGCAGGCCGGTCTGCCCAAGTTTGACAAGCTCGGCCGCCGTATTCTCGTCAGCTCTCCCAACCTCTCGCGCCCCTCGTCCAACACAAACTCGATTCCCGGCACCCCTCGCGGTGGCGGCTCCGATGTCAGTATACACAGTACCTTCCACGCGCAGCCACTGCACGCTTGCAGCTCGACCGATACACAGACTAACCCGCTCTGTAGGTCGATGACGATCTGGAGCGCGCTTCTACCCTCATGGCGCTCTACGACATCCGCGCCAAGATTAAGCAACAGGACAATAGCAGCCTGCTCAAGGCCCGCGAAAAGATCAACGCCCTTGCCGCTAAGCAGCAGGCCCAGCAGGCTGCCGAACGAAATGCCAAGGCCGCCGAAGAGGCCCGTCGGAACAGATACTCGTTCCCTCGCAGCGGCCTCTAAATCCCGACCTACCGCGACGGACACACGCCGTGATGTCCAAAGTTGCGTTGCCTGCCCACATTATACAACTATACCTTGACGAATTCCTCACGTACCCTACGACCACGATACCACCACGCCAGTAGCGTGGACACTACAGATGCGGGACTCACATCATGTAATACCCTTTTAATGACCTACAACCTATGGCCACACAATGCGCGAACTGGCCGCTCGCGATGGATCCTATTGAGACGCAAAAGTTTTCCTTCGATGTCTGCTGCTTAGAACACATTCTTCGACTATCCGGGCAATGACAGCCATCATTCGGCGAGCTCTTTTTGCCCATTCGGCACGGCGTCACGGGTTGCTTTTGCGCGGAACAGATTTGTTTCTTTGTCTTGTCCAAGCATATCTTGTCTTGTTCTCCTATGTTAACGTCGGTTTTTGCGGCATTGATTACGATTGGCAATGTACAGCGATGGCGAAAAAGATTAGAAGGCGGCAAACGCATGGTTGTTTTCTCGGATAGTAAGCGTGTCGAGACGAAGAGATGGAGTGCTGTATGCACGGAGATGTAGTTCAAGTCGTGTTGAAGAAATTCTCCTCTTTTTAGATGTTCCATGGTGACTGGAAACTTGCGAGACGTGATACTGGGAAATGGCTGGTATAAATTCTGCGGAAATTCGTCACCACCGCCCGACGTTTTAAATGAGCAGATAATCATAATCGAGGCAAGTCTACGTCATAACTTCGACATTGTCCGACCTGAATTATCCGCCGGCACAGCCGTCCTGTGCCGACTTAGGTGGCGCATACTCGGGGACGGGACGGATGACCGCTCAGCCACACACGGCAGTGAACGCGCGGCCGGCTCCCGGCATGGGCAAGCGGTGGGAGCGCCGTAGGTGTGGAATATTCCGGGGGCAGATTGACAAGAAGTGTACAGGAATAGACAGCCGTGGAGATGTTTGTCCATGACGGGTTCTATCCCTCGACTTGCAAGAGTTTGCGTTGATGGATGCGTTGCTGCTTGGCGTATGGCCGCAGCAGTGGATGCCTTTGTCAGATGACGGAACGCGCTGGTCAAGGAATGGCAATCCAGTGGAAGATTTCCTTTGACCACCCGAATTTTCTTGAAATTCATACGGGATATAATAAAATACATCGAGATGAAACTGCCGGGAATAATTGTCACTCGTTGCATCTGCTTCACAATTTTTTTTCCATGTGTCAATCAAGTAAGGTCTTCGCCACAAGATGGGCTCCAGCGCTCAGCCACAACGAGGACGCGAAATGGGAAAGCCTTATTCGGCGCCCCACTGCCCAGACGATTTGGCAGAGAAATGACGTCTGGCATTGCAGCGCCACGTCAAGGGCCAAGGAACACGACAGCCTGAACCAGCTGGCTCTTCGGAAGAGCAGACAATATGGCCAGGAAGAACTTGCGGAGTCCATTGTCTATATGTAATAACGGTGTCAGAAACGTCGATGAAATGGAAACAATAATAACACTAACAATCGAGCTACTCGTCAGCTGCTGGTAGTTCGTCCTTCCAGCTAGCGGGTCGTGTGCAATCTAGACACTTTTTTTCAGCAGTACGCCCAGGCCCGCCCAGCCACAACAAAGAGCTCCGCCTCTTTTTCAGCTTTGCTGGGCCTTGTTTCTGACCTTAAATCCTGCCTACTACTGCATTGCCTTGGCCACGCAGCTTTCAACTTTCTTAATCCCTCTCTCTGTCTCTCTCTGTCTCTCTCTCTATGCCCGGTCCTGCAGGTTTCATCTGTTCATCTGTTTTTGACCTGCCCCTCCGCACCAGCTATTCGGAAACCCATTACCGAACCAAATAACTGTGCTAGACAGAACCATCCATCAGCCCTGTCGGCCCTCTTTTCGCTTGGGTGCAAATACCAACCCCACTTTTTTCGTCGCAACAGTTGCCGCCTTTCTTTCTTGACGGACTCGAGGCTTGCTACTTGGGCGCGCCCCCCCCCATTGCTGTCCTATTTCCTACCCATCCATCATCATCTCCTTTTTTTTTTCCCTTCCCTTCTTCATCCATCTCGACAAACCAATCGTCGTCGCCTCGACCACTTTCTCACAATGGACGCGACCAACGTGCTCGAATCCCGCTACATCGGCAGCCGATGCCCCAGCGGCTACTACTACAGCAACGGATACTGCTACCGCAGCAGCTGGTATAGCTGGGGTCGCTGGGTCCTCGTCGGCGTCCTCATCTTCTTCGCCCTCGTCTTCCTCTTCCTCTGCAGGTATGCTACTCTCCTCCCCTCCCTCCTTGTCAATCTGAGCGCGACGGCAAAAAGAAATCAAACGAAGTGACTCTGACTGACCCGCTTCGCAGCTGCTGCGCTCGTCGCCGCGCGCGCAAGGGCGCCAAGCCCATCTACGGCACCGGCTGGATGGGCGGCAACAACAACAACCAAAACACCTACAACCAGGGCTACCCTCAGCAGAGCTACCCTCAGCAGGGCTACCCCCAGCAGGGCGGCTACGACTACAACCAGCAGCAGGGCTACCAGCCGCCCAACTACAACAGCCAGCAGCCCCAGAACACGGGCACCACGTTCAGCCCCAACGACGGCTACTACGGAAACCAGCAGCAGCACCAGTACGGCGCTCCCCAGCAGCCGCCCAACACGTACCAGCCCGAAGGCGGCTATGCACCTCCCCCCGGTCCTCCTCCCACCAAATAGAGCGGACGTTCGCGACGGCTGCACACCTTGTCTGCGTCAGAATAACGCATGACATGAGAGTGCGGTGGATGGGAGCGATAACGAGTTGCGCGTAATCGATGGAATACGGGACGGTGATGCGAAAACGCAAGGTAATGGAATAATGGATGCGCTGAGAAGGGACATGTATCCACGGCCGGTCGCGGCGTTGATCTGGAACTAGATGCTTGCTTTTTATTGTTTTGTCGGGTTCGGCATGTTGGGGCTTGTTGTTCGGTTTTAGGTGTACGACTGATGGAGTCGATGGCCGTGCTTTTTTACCTTGTTGGATAGTGCAGATGTGATTCCCCAGACGATTGGCCGGTCTTTTCAGCCATTTAATACAAGCTGATTTATGAATGACTTGTGTCACTGGCGCCTTTATAGAGATATCATCAACACCGCGCACATACCGTGATTCTGATTACAAAGCGACGTTATTAGTAGTTACCCATGACTTGCAGTCCGAGTCTGTCACATGTGTCGTGCAGCCACCGCCGTTGTCTCGGCTTGTATGCGTTACACAGAAGACCCTTGGATACCAGATAGATCTCCGTTGAATTCCCAGAGAAGGGGGAAGCAAGGTCCGGAGCGGACGGACTTTTCAAATGATCAACTCGGGGATTACCTAGTAGACACAGACGATTGAAGCGTCGGCGGTGCTGCACTTATTATTGCACCATAGCTTCTCCACAGCCGGGGCGGCGGAGCAACTGGGGGAAGCTTGTCCATGCGCCACCTTTCTTGCTTCCCCCAGATTACCGGGCCGAGGTACGCCTAAGTATCCAAGTTGCCTGCAGGCTGCTAACTGTGTATGTACCTGTTTCACTGTACTTGCCTCGACAGCCAGCTTGGCCCTTTTAAGAGATGAATCGCCACCCCTCTCTTTCTATCCAGAACATCTACACAACGTGAACGGATAAAAATATACAGGTTCTTGTTTTCTTCATCATGCCGTTTAGCACACATCAAGAGATTGACGAGGCAAGTCCCGGCTCCCCCTATTCACCGTCAACAGCCTCAACCCCAGTCCACAACTATGTAGCTAACCGCCGTTTGCCCGCAACGACAGGCCGTCGATGCCGCCACCCAGACGTTCCAGTCCAACGTGACCAAGCCGCTCGAATGGCGCATTAAACAGCTCCGCAAGGCCTGGTGGATGCTCGAGGACAACAAGGAGCGCATCGTCGACGCGCTCAAGACGGACCTGCACAAGCACCGACAGGAGGCGCTGCCCATCGACGTCGTCGGCGTGCAGTCGGCCATCCTCGAGGCCCTCAAGCACATCAAGTCGTGGAACGCCGACGAGCGGCCCGCGCGCACCAACCCGCTCAACTTCCTCGGCGGCGCCCGCATCCGCCGCGAGCCCAAGGGCGTCGCCCTCATCATCTCCGCCTGGAACTACCCCTTCATGGAGCTCTTCGAGCCGCTCGCCGCCGCGCTCGCCGCCGGCTGCACCGCCGTGCTCAAGCCCTCGGAGCTCGCCCCGGCCTCGCAGGACCTGATCGCGCGCATCGTCCCGGAGTACTTGGACCGCGACGCCGTGCGCGTGGTCACCGCGGGCCCCGCGGAGATGGACCACCTGCTGGGCCGCAAGTTTGACCACATCTTCTTCACCGGGTCCACGGCGGTGGGCAAGATCATCTACGCGCGCGCGGCGCCGACGCTGACCACGGTCACGCTGGAGCTGGGCGGGCGCGGGCCGGCCATCGTCACGGCGAGGGCGGACGTGGACCTCGCGGCGCGGCGCATCGCGAATGTCAAGTTCCTCAACTCGGGCCAGGTCTGCGTCGGCGTCAACCACGTCTTCGTCGATCCCAAGGTCAAGGCGCCCTTCCTCGCGGCGCTGGCCAAGTACTTTGACAAGTACCTCGGCGGCGGCCACGCCGCGGGCGCCTCGACGGTCAACCCAGGCCACGTCACCAACATCATCAACGACCGGCACTACAACCGCCTCGAGGGCCTGCTTGAGAAGTCCTCCGGCAACATCATCTATGGTGGCGGGCGCGACCCGGCCACGCGCTACTTTGCGCCGACCGTGGTCGACAACGTCACCACGGACGACGCGCTGCTGTCCGAGGAGCTGTTCGGGCCGATCCTGCCGGTGCTGGACGCGACGCTGGACGAGGCCATCGCGTACACGGCGGCGCATGACCACCCGCTCTCGCTGTACGGCTTCACCGAGTCGACGGCGGAGCGGCGCGCGATCCTGGAGCGCACGCGCTCCGGCGGCGTCACCTTCAACGACGGCGTGCTGCACATGGCCATGAAGGACGCGCCGTTTGGCGGCGTCGGCGCCTCCGGCACGGGCGCGTACCACGGCATCTACGGCTTCCGCGAGTTCACCCACCTGCGCACCGTCGCGGCCATCCCCGGCTGGGCGGACGCGCTGCTGTCCTTCCGCTACCCGCCGTACACCAACGCCAAGGCGCTGGCGCAGATCAAGGCGACGGGTGGCGGCGCGACGGTGCCGTTTGATCGCGAGGGGCGCGCGACGACGACGCTGCTGGGGAGGATCCTGGGGCAGTGGAAGCTGCTGGTGCTGCTGGCGGTGGTGCTGAGGTGGCGCGGCTGGACGCTGGACGACGTGCGCAACCTGGTCGGGTGAGACAAGGAATGGGGAAATTGTAATTATGAAAGTATATTTTGGAACAACGGTGTAAGATTGGATACGTATGCCGTTTTATTAAGTAAAATCTGTTGACTTGTAATGCCTCTTCGGCCATGCAGGTACTGTTTGTTGTCTGATGGTCGCGATGTTGCGAACCTAACCAAAGCGCCTATATACATGCAAGGTATCATTGTGCTTGACTTTGCATATCCTATGGTTCATCTAGCAGCTCTCGCCCCCAACTACGTCAACCTTGGACGCCAAAGTACGGTCCGTACGTGAAGCTATGGCTCCAATCCGTGGATGCGTATCCCAACCCGAGCTCCGTCCAGTCACAGCACAACTCCGCCGCCGCCGCATCACCCATGTCAAACTGAAAGTCCGCCAAGAAGTCAGTCGTGCTCAACTCGATCGTGTTGAAGCACTCCGCCGCCGCCGCCGCCGCCGACGCCGCCGCCGGCTCGCCGTCCGCCGGCTTCACCCGCCCCCACCCCGGCCGGAGACCAACCTCCTTGCTGATCCGTATCCTGCCAAAGTACGGCACCACCACCTCGTAGTCCTCCTCCGCCATGTACGCCCCTCGCCGCGCCGCCTCCAGCGCCTCCAGCGCGCGCACCGCCTGCTCCGCCACGCGGCACTCCATCACCTTTGCCGTCCGCCGCAGACACATCGCCGTCTCCCTCACCAACTCCTCCTCCCCCCCCTGCCCCTGCCCCTGCCCCTGCCCCTGCCCCCCATCGCCCAACAACGCCAGCACCAGCGCGGCGCTAAACGCCCGGAAGTCCATCACCTGGCAAAGCTCCGCGCCGCCCCAGAGCCGAAAATCGCGGTACGCCTCGCAGGTTTCCCGCGCCGCGCGCAGCGCCCCGTCCCGGTTGGGGAGGAACCGCGCGGCGTCGGGGCCGGCGGCGGCGGCG